TAGCCTCAAAGTACAATAGAGTCCTTATTTGCACTGATAGTTATGAATGCCAGCTCTGGAATTGAAACTGAATTACTAATATTTTATTCTAAATGTTTGAGCCCCCAGAAACATATTGACACAGAGAGGTGAAATTAGCATAGCCATTTTAAAGGAATTGGAAGGGATCAAACTTCTAATGTTGATCATTTTATTTTATGTCAAAATAAAGTATAGGGCTACTAAAAATGGTGCATTAGTTTGAGTTCATATTAAATATCTTAAGCAGTATAACTTACTGATTACCATTCACATTAAGTGCCCTTTTCTCCCTTTGTACTATAATGTGTCAAAGCCATAAGGTTGGAATCTTATTTTAAGGGCTAGAAAAAATTTAAGTCCCCAAATTAAGACCAACTTTTCAAATATTAGAAGTGTGACATTACAGAAGACTGTAAATTGCCATGAAACAGATCTCATTCTCAGTGAATGTCTTTAGCAGTTACAAAATTGGAAAAGGAAAGACTAGGGATGGGACCAAAGAGGAGGGTGGATAGAAGGACTCAAGAGAAGAGAATTTCATAGATGCAGAGAACAAACTGTTGGTTGCCAAATTGGAGGGGGGTCAGGTAACTGGGTGAAAAAGGTTAAATGATTAAAAAGTACAAATTGGCAGTTACAAAATAGACATGGGAATGTAAAGTACAGCTTAGGAAATATAATCAATAATATTGTGCCCAGCCAGTGCCGCTCAGTGGATTGAGCATCATCCCACATACCAAGAGGTCTCCTGTTAGATTCTGGGTTAGGGGTCAGGGCACATGCCGGCTTTTCTGGCTTGATCCCCAGCAGGGGGAGTGCAGGAGGAAGCCAACTGATGTTTCTCATTGATGTTTCTATCTCTCTCTCCCTTCCTCTCTCTCTAAAAATGAATAAAAACATATTTTTAAAAATACTTTTAAAAATAATAATAATATTGTAATAACTTTGCATGGTGAAGGTGGGTGTAGCCTTGTGGGGGGATCATTTTCTAAGTTATATAAAGGTCTATACCAGTATGTTTACATCTAAATCTAATATAATATTGAATGTCAACTGTAATTGAAAAATAAAATAATTTTTTAAATCTAAATTTTAAAAAACACAGAAAATAACAAGTATAAGCAAGTATATGGAGAAATAGGAATCTTCATACATTTCTGGTGAAAATATAAAATGGAAAAAAAGAAGGGAAAATCTTGGAGGAGCTAAGAACCCAAGAGAGAACAGGGTAAGAGAGAGAGAGACTCAAAAAAGAATAGGTGTGGAGGGCAGAGAGGCCCAAAGAGAAGGCATGGCTATCTGGAAAGTGGGCAGAGGGACCCAAGAGAGCAAAGGGGTGCAGAACAGGGTTACATGGAGGGGGAAGTAGAAAGAGAAGAGAGGAAAACAGAAGAGAGAACCAGTAAAAGAAATAAACAAACAAAAAGAATAGCATTCAAATGCAAATGCCAACCTCAAAGGCAAACCCACCTTTAAAAGAATCTTCCCCAAAATGTTGGAGAAGTAGAGCAAAAAAACCAAAAAAACTGGAGAATTCTGAAGCATAGTATTCATAAAAGCTTTATACATGCATACATTGCTTGCAAGACATTGGTCTGGGCAATAATTTTTAGGATATAACACCAAAAGCAAATGCAATAAAATAAACAATAAACAAATGGGACTATATCAAACCAAAACTCTTCATAGCAAAGGAAACCATCAACAAAATAAAAAGGCAACCTACAAAATGGAAGAAAATATTTGCCAACCAAATATCTGATAAGGGGTTAAAATCCAAAAATATAAGGAACTCAATAGCAAAAAAAGCAAATAATCAAATTAAAAAATGGACTGAGCACCAGAATAGATATTTTTCCAGAGAAGATATACAAAAGGCCAACAGGTACATGAAAAGATGCTCAACATCACTAATCATCAGGGAAATGCAAATCAAAACCACAATGAGGTATCACTTAAGGCCTGTTAAAATTGCTGTTATTCAAAAGACAAGAAATAAGTGTTGACAAGGATGCGGAGAAAAAGGAACCCTGTGCACTGTGTGGTAACAATGCAAATCAGTAAAGCCACTATAGAAAATAGTATGGAGGTTGTTCCTAAAAAATTAAAAATATAACTACCATATGACCCAGCAATCCCACTTCTGGTATTTATCTGAGAGAAATGAAATCACTATCCCAAAGAAATTTCTGTAACCCATATTCATTGCAGAATTATTCACAATTGTCAAGATATGGAAACAACCTAAGTGTCCATCACAGACGACAGGATAAAGAAAATGTGGCATCAAAATAAAAGAAATCTTGTCATTTGCAACAACATGAATGGACTCTGAGAACATTATGTAAATGAAAAAAGTCAGAAAAAGACAACTATGTTCTTGCTTTCACCTGGAATCTAGAAAAGTCTAAATCACAGAAGCAGAGTAGAATGGTGGCTGCTAGGGGCTGGGGAATGGAAAGATGCTGGTCAAAGAGTACAAACATCTTTTTGAGGTGAGAATTAAATGAGATAAATTTAGCATGGTATCTAGCACATAATAAACCATTATTAAACAATAAATATTAATTATAAATAATAGCTAATGAATAGTTGATTTTATAATAATATAATTACATAATATTACAATAATACAATTAGCTAAATAAGACAAGTTCTGGGAATCTAATGTACAGCAGGTGACTATAGTTAATAATACTGTATTATATAGTTGCAAGTTCATAAGAGAGTAGATCTTAAATGTTAACACCACACACAAAAATATGGTGAATCTTATTGTGGCACTTGAATCTGTTATGATTCATATTTTTTAAAGGAAATCATTTTGAAAATGTTTATACTTATTAGTTAAAAAACATACATTTGACCTAAGTCTCATATGTATAATGAATATTGTGGTTTATCACAGCTGCTCCAGCACATACAAACTTACACGGGCAAATCCACATATTCAAGAGTGGCAAAAACTCACAGCTCATGTCCACATCCCTGGCCTTCCTGCTAGGATTCCTCTTGAATTTCATGGAAGGTAAAAGTTATATAAATGATTTTAAATAGCCAAGACTTCACAGTGTTAATGATAGCATGGAATAACTGGAAATAGATCTTCTGTTGTTGGTTTAGTTAGGCTGAGTAAATTATGGTCGTCTCATTCTATGAAATATTAGGCTGCTATTATTAATAATGAAACATATGAAGACTATCAACACAGAAAAATTCACAGAACAGTATCAAATAAAAGGGACAAAAACTGTATAAACAAAAATGAAGATTATGTAAAAATATAGGTACACATAGAAATATCAGTTATATTTTGGTAGCCAAATTGAAGGAAATTTTTCATGTTTAATTTCTTTAATGCTGGTTTAATAAATTATTTAACTAGTGTTTTAAAACTGTTTATCTATATATTATAAAATAATTAGCTAAACTATATCCCTTTTTCATAGCTATAACCCACAGTTTTAGATGTATTTTATCTTTTAGATCTCTCAAGTTTCATTACTCTAAAGCCATCCTAGCCATCAAAAGCCAGAAAATCTTTAGCCTTTGCTTCTGGGATAGGCAAGACAGGGATGCCCCCTTTCTGTTTCAACTTCTGCCCCTAGATCTGACCTGCTAGTCAGAATGGACAAGAATATTAGACTCAGTCAAGTGAGATCTATCTTACTGAACCTCTCTCATCTTTGCGTTCCTCAAGCCCTAAGTTTCTGTATTTATGAAATTCTCCAAAGAAGTCAAACTCTTGAAGATTTATCTCAGATCCAGGACTCATCCCATACATTCCTACCTCCTCAACCCTGGAGAATACATTGCTTAGCATTGAATTCTACCTTGCCATGGGCAGGCCAAACCTTGAAGAGGTGATTATATCCCTAAAGATAAAAAGCACTTGTTCTCCAAGGAGAAAACTACTATTTATTGAATACTTGTGTATCTGGTACTGTACAAAGTATGCTGTATGAACCACCACAGACCCACAGAACCAGTTACTGGAGTGAGCCAAGAAAATCTGCATTTGTAACAAATATCCTAAGTGGTTGGTAAACACACACAAGTTGGAAAACCAATGGTCTAAGGCCAGTGTTTTCCAAACTGTGACTGACAATTTATCAGTGGACTGTGATCAACATTTTAAATATATATTGGTATTATGTACTGGGTCATAATATAAAATTTCTTAACTGTGAGTCACAGCCAAAAGGTCTGGAAAGCATGAGCTAGGCATTATGAACTTAGAATAATGCAAACAGGGAGAAAAGAAAACAGAAAAAGCAAGCAAGGAGAGAGTATAACATTCATAACTTAAGCTCCATAAGTATCTAGCAAAACAAAATTGAAGGCACTTAAGCTCTGACCATCCATAGGAATAAGGGGCAAAAAAAAAAAAAAAAAA